GATAAATACGGCACCATAAATACTGAATATCGGAGAAATTGATAGTTGGAAATTTTTTTAGCTTAATCCACCGTTACGTATCGTATTGCCTTCCGATAATACGCTAAACCGTTCGAATACACCAGGTTTCGTTTGCGGAATATCGCATTGTAAATAACCCGTGGTATTTATAAGAACAAACGTAATATATCGTTGCCACGAAAAAACACGTATCTGTTATCTTTGGACAAAAAAATTGCGTAAACGTTTCTCTCTCTTTCTTTCTTTCTATCTCTCTCGTTCGCTCGCTCTCTTTTTCCATTGAAGAAAAACTAGTTATGAATATTATACATGTAATAATTTTGAAATATTTGTATATTGATAATTGTTATTATTTTATTTCATTTCTTTAAATCAAACATTGCGATTAATATTCTTTTAGACATTAAGTATAATTTATTGATCTTATTTATTTGATCTTACACATCTTCGGGAAACCTTTTTAAAACTTAGATACGTGACTTTCTAATGAATTTTATTCAAGCAACAGAAGTACGATTTCGATCATTTTAAATTGATTACTATCGAAAGTTTAGTTTTAAAGTTTCTCTAAAAGTTAGAAGAAGGAAAAACTTTGATCGAAGGTGCTGAGAGAATATCGGAGAAAAGTGAATATTGTAAAATTTAAAAAATCCCTCTCTCATATATCCAAGGATTAAGAATCGATGTGTAAGACTTACGCACGTTAACGAGACGTAGTTCAAGAAGACCCAGAACATCCAGAAGCCGTATTGTTTCAAACAGCTGAGTATTACAATATATGATACAGAGAGAGACCTACGAATGAATAACCTTGCGACCAGACTGTGTTTCGCACAATGTTTCTGATATTTAATCTAATTTTACATAACTTTATCTTCATGATTTAATATTTTCTTTAGAAAGAATGCAATTATTCTAAATATTAAATATGTAATTTGCAAATATAATCGTCGTCATTATAATTGACATTAATTAGATACATTGATACGTGACACTTCGAGGTGCTAATTTAATTTACATGAAATGGTACATAATAATATAGTAAATGGTAAACAAATCATTTTTTTAATTATATAAGCGCTAATAATTTAGTGAAATCAAAATCGTTTAAATAAGGTCACGTGAAATGTAGCACGCTTACACGTGTGAAGAATATTTCGTAATCGAGAATGAAATACACTTGAATTCCCTTGAACGCAGTAGCGGATTCACGGTGTGTCGTGTTTAATCCATGTTATAAATAGTAACCAGTACCCGAGCATACGTGTTTCTATTCCGAGAACGTGAATATTCCTCTTCGATACATAGAAAATCTATAAGTCGATATTCATGCACGTATCTCTTTTTCGGTGTCATCAATAAATAATATTATACCTTAAAACTTACTGGTACTCGTTGCTATCTGTTTGCAAAAGAAGAAACATTGTATGTCTTTTCATTTGCAAAAAACTGAAGAATAAATTTTTCAGAGAAAATCTAAGCTCAGAATATTGATTTTTTCTTTGAAATATACTGTTCTATACATTTTCTAAAATTAAATCAATATTCTGATGCATTGAGAAAGGGCGATTTTGCCTCTATCAAACTTGATTGCTTTTCATACCAAAAAGTTTTTCTTCGACTGCTAAATTTTCCTTCCGAAGCAGAAGATGCAGAAATTTTATTTCGCAATAAATACGCGAACTATGCGCAAAAATTTCTGAATGCATGTTTTTTATAAAAATAATTTTATAAAAAAATGTAATATTTGTTAAATAAAAAATATTTATATATAAATAATACTTTAAATATATAAAACCGATAAATTTAGTTGCATTTATATTAAAAAATGAAAATATTTTTATTACATCACATATAATAATTTGCTCATTTATTAATATATTCTCTTAATATATACATATATAAATATATATTAATTAAAATAAATGTATATTAATTAAATATATGAATATTATATATTATTTAAATATATTTACAATGTTGTGTTATATTGATATAATATTATTTAATGTTAATTTAATGTATATATTTATGACTAATGATTTATATTTTATAATACATACATATCTCTTATTTAAAACAAATATTTTAATCTTCTCACTGCATATAATGTTGATCAAAACTTAATATAATACAATAAAACAATTACATATTATATATTATATATTTTATATATATTATTATATATATATATATATTATATATTATATATTATACAATTATATAATAATTTATTTAAATTATTTTTTTGTAGATAAAATAGAGAAAGGTGCCAAGTGCATAGATTATTAGAAAATTGCATAAAAAGATATATCGATTTACACATCGCAATTTATATTAACTTTTATGTTTTATCTAATTTTATCGAGATTTATGCATTTATAAAAGCATTTCATTAAATTCCATATTATGTCATCAAATAAAACTTTTTCCCATATATGCATTATTACAAACAAATACACAAGCTTTATTCATAAGCTTTAATTATATATCGTCCATTCAAAATATTTCACGACTTTATAAAATAGAATGCGATGACGGATATCAACTAAAGATTCTCGATTATTTCTATGGTTCTCTTTCACTCTCCCCCATAAACTGGTATATCGGAAATATATCGGAAGTTTACGAATCATCTCATATATGTCGAGATCGAAAATGCGAATGAGACAGTATTATATCGATGTTTTTTCGATGTTAATAATTGCAGATATGCAGATTTGTCACAGAAACATACAAAATGTAACATGAAGAGATATCTGTTTTGTTTTTTCATTCTATTAAAGTTGTAGTTGCATCTTTCTCAGATAAAAAAATATTCTTATTAATTGAAGATGATATTTATTTTACGATATTAGCAGAAAAACATTTTTAATGAATGAAAATAACATTATTCTTATTCTAAGCATCAAAATTTATAAGTAAATTTGTCAAACTTATAATTTATAAAATATTATTAATACACGTAAAATTATTATGTTATATTTTTGTTATATTTGTGTGTGTGTGTGTGTGTGTGTGTGTGTGTGTGTGTGTGTGTGTGTGTGTGTATGTGTGTGTACACAAAATGTATATAATAAAATATGCAT